TCTTCCTCAACAAGTATGGTAGGATGTTTTATTAAAAATATATATATTTCATATTTAATATATCAAACATAATTTATAATATAATAATTTTTAAATTATATAAATAAATATAATATTTAAATTTTTTGCCGCAATTGATAACTGATTATTAATTCTCTCTTTTCTTTTTTCTTTTTCAAAAATCACTATTATTAGAGAAAAAGGGTTCCCGTCGTGGATTTATGCAAGAAGATAAAATCCCACGCTTTTGCCCTGCAAGCAAGGTACAAGTTGCCTCATCGCTTTTTCAAGTTTAGATAATTGAGAGGGACATAATTACTGGGTCAGGGTCTTGACCTACTCTCCCCTCCCTACTCTGCTCTGTCTGCATCTGCCACACACCGAAAACTACAGCTAGCTAACTAGGATTTAGTGCTTTTTCGTTTTGGAGATTTGCAAACAGCAATCCCTATCGGGATGAAGAACTTCGAATCAGGTAGAAGAAATTTCAAACTTTCATTAATTTGGTTAACTACTTAATTTACCATATAATAATGTTTGGATTAATTTTTAAATTTTTTAAAAATCAAGATTAAATATTTTTTAATTAACTTAAATTTAAAATTTTTAGCGGGAATGAATTACGCATGTAAAAACTAGAGTGAAGCATATTAATTTATACTTAATTTAAGACCTCATTTGAATCACCTACTATTGTTCATGGTGAGATGGGATTAATATCTCAAATTAAGTGGGTGTTTAGATGCTATTAGAGGTGTAGTTAAACTTTAAACATTATTAGTTAAATTTAAATATTAATTTTAATAAATTTTATTTAATATAAATATATTTTTAAAATTTTTTTAATTATAATTATAACCAAAATTTTAATCGTAATTATAATTTTTTTAATTATAATAATAATAATAATAATTTTTTTAATTTTATCGAAATAAATTCTACCTATCCTCCTAAACTAATCATCCTTGTGGATGACATTTGCGGCAAGGTACAAATAAATTTTTACTGCACACCGCCTCTTATCTTTTCAAAAAGAAAAAAGGTCTCTTTCTTTTGTTTTTGCTCTTGAGATTAAGGGTATAAAAGTCTCTTTCTTTTGTTTTTGCTTTTGAGATTAAGGCTGAAAATGTACTTAGCTTTACTTCTCCATTATATAATTATAATTATAACTATAATTATGATTATTTATTAATTTAATACATTAATTAAAATTTATAATTATACAAAAAAATATAATTATTATATAATTAAAAATGGAATAAATACATAAATAAATAAATAATTTATATAATCAAATAAAAAATTAATAAATAAAATAATATTTCTGTAACGAGTATGAGTTAACTATAATAAATATTTACATAAATGATCAAAACTAAATATTAATTCATTTTTATTAGATAATTATATTATTATCTTTTGAAATAATAATTATTTTTTATAAAAATTATCATATAAACATAAATAATAATAAATAATTAAATATTACATTGTGAAATATTCAATTTATGTAAATATATTAGTATCAATTTTTAAAATAATAATTGATATATTACCACCATTTTTTTCATTTTTTATTAATTAAAAAAATTATTTGTAATAAAAATAATTTCAATAATTTTTAATTATTTATTAACTTCATCAATGACGAATATTCTAAAATTTAATTACATACAAACTTTAATATAATATTTTTAATGATAATTTTTCTTCTTATAACATTTCATCTTATTTATTATTGTATTTGTATATAAACACATATTTCATCACTAATTTTAATCTCTTCATTACAGTATTCAATCTCACTACTATGATAATTAATCTCACTATCATCATTATTTTTAATTTCTCCAAAATTAATTTTATCACCTATCTAAATAGACCCTAAGGTAGAAAAATTAGAAAAAATTGTACATTAAAGCAAGGTTAAAGGTATAAAAAGCCCCAAACTATAGCTAAAAAAATCATCCAAGTACTTTTGTTTTTTTATTACAATCAATTAACCCACTAACGTGTATTTGCATCTAATTAAGCCTTTATTTGGATAAAAAGTTGGCATTAGTAATTTTTTGCCAATTAAAATAAAATTTATATGACATCAATAAAATAAATGAAATTTGTAATGTTATACAATTAATATATGTAAAAATAAAATAAAATAAAATATTTTATTTTTATTTTTATTTTTATGTCTCTATCTCTTTAGAATTCCTCTAAAAATTAAATTGACTATAGTTGAGAGATTGATTGATTAAATTTTATAACGTGATTAGATTTCATCTATTTAAAAATTCAATTAAGTTGAAATAAAAAATTAAAAACTTAATTAATTTTAATAAAATATTAAGGATTTAATAATTATTGAATTATAATTTAAGGGTATCTTATACCCTTTAACCTTTAAGGCATTAAACTAAATCAAGAAAAATAAAATGCGGTTTATTGTTCTCCTATCTTACTGTAATTTTAATTATATTAATTGGTTACTAGAATATTAATAATTTTTTTCAAAACAAATTGATTTATAATTTCATTTTTTCTTTTTAAAATATTTATTTTTAAATCACTAATTAATAGATTATGAAAAAATAAAGACATTTTGTGTTGGTACCATTTTACTTAAATTTAATGGATAGTAGAATATAGAAAAGTTATATGAAATAAATTGAATTTGAAAATATTGAAATTAATACAACAATATTGTTTTTTTTTTTCAACCAACTGAAATAAATTAAGGGATAGAAAAATATGAAAAAATTTCAAAATTGATTGGAACATTTTTTTTTTATTTTCTTGTTTTCAAATAATTCATTAAAAAAATATGAAATATTAATTCAGTATGCTAACTTCTAATATTTTATCTTTTTATTAATATTATCTATTAAAAAATAATTAATTCTTACAAATATTTAAATTAATATAATATTTATTTCTTTATTTAAACTAATTTTAAATATATAAACATTTAATATGTGTATTTATTGCGTAGATATCAATCGTTGCATATATATAATATATATCTTATATTTAATTATTTTGATCAAAAAGGTAAAAAATATGTAATTCTTACATTAATATAAGTAGATCCCATCTCTTTCTTTATCTATATATAAATATATGCTAACTTCTCATATTTTATCTTTTTAGTAATATCAAAAAATGTAATCAATTTTCATGTTCAAATCTTATCAAAAAGAAAATGTATTCAATTGAATTTCTAATTTAACTCTTAATAAATCTAAACATTGCACATTAACCGCGATTTTTATTTTAAATCGAACACCGCCAAAGATAATAGTAACGGAGGAGCTAAAACGTCTAAATTTGGGAGCTGGGCAGGGTGAGCTCATTTAATTGCTTCGGCTTTTCTATTGCTTGTGTTGGACTGGGCTTTTGCTCTTCCATTTGTGGCTCTAAATATTTGAAGCAGCTCCTACTTCCATTAGAACCCGGGTTCTGCTGATGCTATCGGAGGCCGAACCGTACTTTGTGGTAGAATGTTACCGGGAAAAATTTATGCTATATAAGATGAATGCATGCACATGTTGTAAGAATCAGGATCTAACTTTATTTTTTAATACATATTTAAACGTATTTCACACATGTCAAGTAATGAAGTTCATAATTTATTGATGTGGGTTTTTTTTGTCACCGTTTTGATGTCCTTCTTTGCATACGAACAATAAATACATTACGTGACATGAAATTTCACAAATAAAAATAATGGATCTATATGACATAAAGACTAAAATAAATTGTTTATTAATTAAATTGATCAGACTTGAAAGTGTCTGATCATATAAATATAAGATGATTGTTTTATTTACTCTCAATTAATTTTAAATTGAATTTCCATTTTCCATTTTAGGTTTAAGCTTTTTTTGACTTGAAGTCAGTGGCCGAAAATTTCTTGAAAGATTATAGAGTCCAATGAGAAATTTTCTCATAAAGCTTGACTTGTGGTACACATAACACAACGAAGTGAGTCTAAAATATTTATGTTTAAACTCGACTTTTATGTTTTTGGTTAGTGAGCTGATTTTATGCAATTCTTTTTTTTTAATAATTTTTTATAATTTACGATTATCTTAAATTTTTAATTTCTTTATTAGAATGAGAGCTTCGGCCATAAATACCCTCTTTTACATAGATCTTTAGCTAAATAAGTTCAATATCAATAAAATTTGATTTTTTTAACAATTCCGATTGTGAACTTATTTTCCCATTCTTAAAATACTTAAAGTGACATGTATATTTTAGAATATATTAAAAAATAAAAATTAATGAAAAAATATTTATTCATTTTTTAATCTTACCTGTAAAATTAAAAAAATTCACTAAAAATGAATTATTCTGTTATCATTGTACCATAAATTATAATTTATTGATAGTGGATAAAAGTGTACACTTTATTCGTCAAATATAAACTCTTCAATGGATTCATTTCATCATGGATGAGTGAATAGCAGTTGCAACCCCTTAACAGGATAAATCCAAATCCCAGCAGCACATTACCTGCAACAAACAAGATACCAGTTATCATTTGACCAACAATCATAATGAAGAAGAAACTGAAACTAAAGTAGTGCTATATTGCCTGACTATGTATGGACTATTTCAGTTTTCTAAGTTGACAAAGCACAAATTTGGTTTCTTCCTTGTAGCCTGCAGCCCTGCATGAACCTTGTCCCATGATTTCTCCCTTTCCTTCTAGAAATCATAATCCATTTGCCTCCAATCTTGCTCAGTGTTGTATATCCAATAGAAAACCCAATTATCAGTCCAAACCCATATTTTCCAATGAAATAAGCTGCTTCTCCAAGAATCATCATCTTCATGGTGCAAAGGTGGTGGCAAATCATTGTCATTATTTTTGCATGTTCTAGTCAATGGTGACCCACATAATCCAGGGTTTCCCTCATAAGAGTCATTTGAAAATGTATTAAATCGGTTACCTAGTGGTATGCTCCCTTCAAGTTTTGTAAGAGAGATACATTACTTCAAGAAAATTCCGGCTCGTCAATTGAGGAGGAATTTCCTGAGAGTTTGTTCCGTGAGAGGTCTAATGACTCCAGTTCAGTCAAGCTTCCAAGTGATGGGATTCGGCCCATGAATCCTTTTCGAGACAAGTTTAGCACTATTAGTGCTTTGAGATTTCTGATCCCTTCAGGAATTTTCCCACAGAAGCTGTTGTTGGAGAGATCAACACAAGTTAAGATGGTTAGGATTTTTGCTACTTAATTTCATTCCCTTTGTTATAAATTACCAACGAATCCTGATAGTACGCATCTACAATATATTTTGGCTGCCATCACTTGCATTAGTCACCATCGTTGCCCTCAGAGATAGGAAGAATTCAATAGACAGTTCCTCCGAAAACTTGTTCGAAGCAAGGTTCATTGTTTGCAACACTGGGAAGATTTTTGCATCTGAAGTATGATCAACTATTGGACCGTAGAATTTATTTTTTCTCAATACAAAAACTCTCAATGCGGGCAATTTCTTCAACCAAGAAGGGAACCTATCACATATCATATTGTTGCCAAGGTCCAAAAGCTCTAGCCTGGAACAATTTGCTAATGATTTTGGCAGCTTCCCTTCTAAATTATTGCTATTGAGTTTGAGTGACCGGAGCTTGGTCCCTCGGTCAAAATTCAGTGACATGCTGTGGAAGTCATTTCCTTCTAGATTCAAACCGTAGAGATTAATGATACTGCCTAGACAGTCTGGTATTGGGCCAATAAAGTTGTTATTGGATTCATCAAGCAGAATGAGATGCCTCAAATTGCATATAGCGTTAGGTAAAAAACCTTGTAACAAGTTGGCTTGGAGATCAAGAGTACGCAAGGAAAGAGACTGATTCAGAGAAAATGTTTCCCAAGAATGGAGTTATGAGAAAGATTCAGGTGGAGTAATTCCTTCCCCCAAATCCAGTTAGGTATTGGTCCCTGATGTCGTTGTCTGAAAGGTCAAGATACCACAGGTTTTCTTGGTTTTTTATTAGTAACTCTGGAAATCTAGTTATTTTACAGGAACGCATATGCAATTCATATAACCTCGGGAAAGAAGTATTTTTATCACCATTGAAGACTGACATGCTGCTATTTTTGACCCTAAACAAAGGTTTCTCCGGAAAATCTGTTATGAATAATGATTCAAATCCCATAAAAAATTTGTTTGAAATTGGATAGATATTGTTTGATGGATAAGAAGATTTGTAAAAGAAGAATTAAAAAAAAAGAGATTTTTAATAGATAAGTTTAATTTATTAAAGAATTCTAAGAGGAAAGAGATTCGTAATCGGTAATTACGTATGGCTATAAATAGATAAAATTTCTGCAAGGTTATATATGAGAAAAAAATGTAAGAGAGTTATAGGATTTTATGGAATAGACACTCCATAAGACTACTGGAGATTTATGTCTTATGGGTGTGTATGTTTATTTATGGGTGGACTAGAGGAGACTGAAAGGATTCACATAGGTATGATGAATTGATACATATGGATATGTATTTGTTTGTGTTAAAAGAGTGTACATGAGATGTGTTTGTTTAGGTTGAGAATACTCCATAGGAGTAGAGAAGATTGAGAGAGTTTATGTGTTTTGATTGTTAAGTGGTTGATATGTTTTAATGTATGTTTGTAATTTTCTATAATTAATGAATCTTGTTTCTCATTCGTGGACGTAGGTCAGTTGGATCGCATCACATTAAATTATTGTTTCTTGTGTGATTGATTGTGATTATTTGATTATACTTCCGCTATGTGATTGGATTGGGGTTTTTTAGTCTAACAAATGGTATCAAAGCATAGTTCAAGATATGGAAAAAGGTAAGTTTAGAGGAGTTCGATTCAAAGAAAAAGTTTGAGTTCATGTTTTGAGGATCGATTTACGTGAAGCATAAAAGCACACAAGAGAAAATAATTGTAAGAATTCCATTGCGGTAGAGCCAAGTGTGTTTAGCATGAAAATAGATGATTTGGTGAAATTTGAGTCAATGTGAAGATTGTTAGGAATAATGACTCAAATCCCATAAAACATTTGTTTAGAATTAGAGAGATATTACTTGATGGATAAGAAGACTTGCAGAAGAAGAATTTTAAAAGAAAATAGATTCTTAATAGACAAGTTTGACTTGTAAAAGAAGAACTTTAAAGGAAATAGATTTTTAATAGATAAGTATATATGGCTATAAATAAATGAAGTCTTTACAAGATTAAGTATAAGAAAAAAATATGAAAGTTATAGGGTTTTATGGGATAAATACCCCATAAAGATTTACATCTTATAGGTATATATGTTTATTTGTCACTGGACTAGAAAAGATTGAGATGGTTCACATAAGTATGATGAATGGATATATATGGATATGTGTTTGTTTGTGTTGAAATGTTGTACATGGGATGTGTTTGTTTGGATTGAAAATACTCCATAAGATTAGAAGAAATTGAGAGGGTTTATAAGTTTTGATTATTAAGTGGTTGACATATTTTAATGTATGTTTGTAATTCTCTACAATTAATGGATCTTGTTTATCATCTATTGATGTAAGTCAGTTTAACCGAATCATGTTAAATTATTGTTTCTCATATGATTGATTAATTGTTTGATTATGCTTTCGTTATGTGATTGGATTGGAGTTTTTAAGTCTAACAAAATCAACATTGTTGTAGGAAAGATCTAACACTGATAGACTAGTTTTCCATATCCAACTACGTATGTCACCAACGGTTTTGTTGTTGGAAAGTTATCGAAATTTCAAAACTGTTTTGTGTTTTAAGGAAACTTGAGAATTCAGTAATGTTACAGTAACTCAAACTCAGTTCCTCTAATCGGGGAAGGGTAGAGCTTGTGTCGTCATTTTGAACAGATAAGTTGTTTCCAGAAAGATCAAGAGAGATTAAGCTCTTGAGATTCAAGAATATGCCTAGTTTCAACGAACCAGTGAAGTTGTTATAAGCCAGTGAAATAACGTTGTGCTCTGGAAGTTCAATGATTGATCTTCGAATTGGGCCTTTTAGATTGTTTCCTTCAATAATTAAATACGTTATTGGCGAAGAAGATGCATTATGAAACTCTTCGAGTTCTCCAACAAGTAGATTTCTCGAGAGATCCAATGACTGCAGGGATGGGAGTGCAAACAGAGAGGAAAATACGATTCCATTGAGTTGGTTTGAAGACAAGTCAAGTGTTTTAAGATTTGTAGCTCCTTCTCTATGAAATGGAGGGAGTGGACTGCTGAAATTATTTTCGGAAAGATCAGCACCCCTGAGGGTAAGGTTTGCAAGAGATGATGGGATTGAACCAGAAAATTTGCAAGAACACAGTCGTCAAGCCCCTAAGGTTACCGTCTTACCGAATGAGGCTGGCAAACTTCCATAAAAGTTCGTCACAGAACTTCAAAGTACTGTTAGAGGAAATTCGGTAAACATGCCTGTAAGGAGTGGGTTTTCTGAAATGTCCTGGCTTTTCAGTCTTGGCAATTGGAAAATGTGATCCGGAAAATTCCCATTCAAGTTGCAATATGCTAGGCTGAGAGAAGACAAATGAGGGGAATTAGCATACAACATGGGTGGTAGCGAATGAAGTTTGTTCCTGTCATTCAATTATCTGTACTTTCACAAATCAACAAAACAAAGAAAATCACCCACCCTAAAAACACATGATGCACTTAAATGAAACAACTGGGAGTGATATAATGAGCCCTGCCATGGTTCATGAGTAAACAAAATTAGTTTGTTCAAATTTTTTGGGAGCATTATACTTATAAGTCTTCTCCGCTGAGATCACCCCATCGAACGTTGTACTTGGCCGCAAGATAATGTGCTCCAACTGGTCCTCTACTCCCGTACGGGTACAGCTCTGGAGCAATCGTTTTTACTTCGAGTTCCTTTAGCAATGGTGTAAACAGTGACCAAGCAGCATCTAGCTCATCACTTCTAATGAACAACCTTCGTTCCCCTGCTGTAGCATCTAAGAGCAATCTCTCGTACGCATCTGGGATTTCTTTTGAATACCTTCATACCATAACCGAAGTTTTAAATTAATTGCATCATTGACACTTGAAAGGAAATAAGATGAGATATACTTGCATGAGTTTTCAGACAATGCTAGTCCAAATATGATCTTTGTTTTTCATGTTGAAGCCTGGTAGATATCAGCTCATTTAATCCATTTGATTTTAAGGGAAAGCTAGATGAGTTTTACTAATGAGTATATGCTACTGAAGATAAACATATGGCAGCAACTATTGTTTTAATAGGCAGAACATTTTAGTTTCAACATCAAGCTCAGTGATAATACACTCCAAATGTCAGTTAAGTGCAGTTCAATAAACTGAAGCAGCATATATATTGAGTTAATAAAAGACTGAATATCCCCATACCTTGCCTGATAAAGCAAATTAAGGTCACTGCGATCTAATCTCATTCCAAGACCAGGAACTTTGTTATTGATCTTCAGATAAATGGCTTCATCAGGTTGCACACGCAGCACAAGCTCAATTGTAGCCTTGTCCAAATCAGTTCCAAAATTCCGCTTGTACAAATTACCTGGAACATGTCTAAACTGAACTCTGATCTCCGCCCTGGATTTTCAGCCCACAACTTTTCAGGCCATTCAATTATAGGGATGATTACAAGGCATGGGCCCTCAAAATAAAATCAATAAATAAAAATATCCACCTACCGCTTAGTATGGAGAGCTTTGCCAGCCTTCATGAGAAAAGGGACACCATCCCATCTTGCATTATTTATAGACAGAGCTGCTGCCGCAAATGTTGGTGTAATACTGTTATTTGGTACAGTTGAGTCATCACTATAACCTGGATATCTTCTACCGCCCTTGTTGTGGCCCTTATACTGACCAACGATGACATCCTCAAGCTGCAGTTGTTTCATTGATCTCAGAACCTTTACCTGAAAATTGGCCATTCCCATCATGTTGTACCAGATTTTAAAAATAGAGCTTTAGGAAACATAAGAACAACAGAAAGTAAATCAATGAGATAAATAGCAATCAATCACCAAGTCAAAGCACATTCTCAATGGTACTTATCACGTCAAAGGAAATCACAATACCTTTTCATTCCTAATGTCCTCAGCATCTAAGCTGACAGGAGTCTCCATTGCAAACAGTGCCAGAATTTGCAGGAGATGATTTTGCATTATATCTCGAATGATTCCATAATGATCAAAATAACTGAAATTAACAAGAAACACTTAAGGGATCTTGGTCTTTGAAAAGAACCATGTTTTTAAATACAAAAACATCAGCAAGAGTATACAACTCACCCCTCTTGTCCTTCAGTACCAAAGTCTTCAGAAAATATCAATTGCACATTGCAGATATAATTCCTTGACCACAAAGGTTCAAAAACAAGATTTGAGGAGCGAAGCACTGAGAGATTCTCAACAAGTTCCTTGCCCAAGTAATGGTCAATCCTAAAAAAAGCATAATCAAAATTGAGCTGTCCTTTTAGTTTTGTCAATTGCAATTTTCTATATAAAAACTATAAAGCAACATGTACCTGAAGATCTGATCCTCAGTTAAATAACGCTTCAGACATCTTGTTAGCTCAGCAGAGGACTCTGAATCACGGCCAAATGGCTTTTCAACAATGACCCTTGTCCACCCATTTGCTGAAGAGGCTTTGAGGCTGGCACATCTTACCCACATCCACGAATATGTTTGGAGGTATTGACAAGTAAAATAACCTATTTAACAGTTTTCCAGCCTGGAAAGAAGCATTTTTCAATATTAGGACGGAGAGAAGTCTAAGACAGAACCAGCAACTCAGTTTCCATCCACTGCATATTTAGTAGGCAAAAAAGGAAATCCATCAGTTGGTTCATTAACATGATACTATTTTGTTTTAGTTCAATAACATACAAGGTGTTTAGCCACCATTCAAAATTTAAAAGAGCAATCTAACCTTCTGTATTATACTTTATTAAGTATGAGATCTTAATCAATCTTTTCTTAGACCAATTCTTCTTGTATTAATCCTAAAAGAACGAACATGAAAAACCTTTCCTTAATGCACCATTCTAAAACTGCCAGGACTAAAACAAGAAGACCAGGGGGCATCACAAGTTGAATGTGAAACAAATTGTAAAATGTTATGAACACGCTGGATGTTTTTGTTGCTATAATTCAGTTTTACTCTCAAATCCAATACTTCAACCTTTTAAAAGATAAAATGGTTTCAGAGACTATTATAAGATAAATACATCAAACTTAGTATGCTAAAAAAAATAAAATTTTGTAAAAGAAAATTTCCCTAAATCTTAAGGATAATTATCACATTCTCAATTTTATTTCATCCTATTCCATAAAGAGATAGTAAACTTAGTGCCATGAGGTACGCAGTGATAAACCTTCCAACTCTTGTAACTACCATTACATTCCTAAACTACTTGCAAAATTAAACATGAAAACATTAGAATAAGATTCAATGGAGGTTAAGAAACCTGAGGAAAAATGCAAAAGAAGATGTTACCTCTTTCTCTTTCAGCTTGCTGTCTAGTTCTGCAAAATGCTCCTCAGAATTATACTGACCTGAATGGTAAAAGCATCTGTTCAAGAACTGCTCCGTTTTAGCTTCACAATTTTCCCTATAAGTCATACCAGACACCACATAATAAATTAACACAACGGCATACAGAGTTTTTAGATATAACGTGATAGAGATTAGTCAAATTACTTTAACATGATATTAATCTTACCTCTTATCAATTCTACAAGTTAAAGTTCCATTAATCATGTTCCTGAGCTCTTCATCTGTCAGTTTAGTACGAGCATAACCAAAAACCACAAAGTTCTGCAATACAAGAGAAAACATAAGAAAAAGATACAAACTCACTAGTCATTGAAAATATCTTAGCTCTCTGCCAAATATAAATTATCTTGACTCTGGTTAATGAAAATTATTCTATCTTCAGAAAATGAAACCCTGTGAAGAAATGAAGGGCATTACCTCAGGAAGACAATCTTCATAGTAAAGAGCAAAAAGTGCAGGAAAAATTTTCTTCTTAGCAAGGTCCCCTGAAGCCCCAATAACAGTTATGCTAAGAGTAGACTGTACTTCCTCTGGGTCTGAGAAGTCAAAGAAAACTTCTACCTCTTCAGGCTTGATTCCTTTGGCCAAAGGGCTTCCATCCACTCCTAATCCAAAGAGCACTTGAAGGCTCAAAATTGAGAAACTAAACAAAGGACAAACTTGATGAAGAAACGATTGCAAAAGAAGTTCCTAGATGAGGAAAAAGACTAGTTGGAAGGCAAAAAGCACAGGATTTCCAGAATCCAAACATACTTTGAAATGGCAATTTGGATTACATGTCCAAATTTTCACCACAGCATGTCATTGGTATCATACATGGTAAAAGAAACTATTGCTCCATCAGATTCAATCCAAATCCTTTAAGAAATGTTGAAGTTGTTTTATTTGAGAAATTGATAATTATCCACCAAAATTATACCAGCACACAACATCAAAACTTCCCAGAAATCAAACATTGGTGAAGTCAAGTATTTCTATTTCTCCAATCTCGAAAGCTAAAAGCAGCGTATTTCTTTCCACAATTCCAACGCCAACTGAAGAATACTTGCAAACAACAGATTACATTACTAACAGAAAATCAATTATCTAAAGTAAAAGTAAGTTTCATTCACAAAGATAATTCATTGCGTACTATAACAATCAAAACAGATAAACAGAACATGAAAGAAAAAACAAAATAAAATTGAAATAAAATGACTGACCATCTTGCATAGAAACAGCATTTAGTGGATGCCCATTTGAGGATTTGATCTGGAGCTGGTTTCTTGCAAGGATTCTTGAACGAACTTGAGAAACCCATTTGGAGAAACAACATTTTCTTGGCTTACAAACATTGAATTCAGAAGAAAATTAAGTGAAGAAGAAGAAGAACAAGGAGTAATGTGCCGTTATAATCCGAAAAGAAATGATCGACAAATGTTCTAATAGCTCAAGAGTTGGTGAAAGGGTATCACAAGAAAACATTATCTCCTCGATATGCACTTAAAATTGATCTGAGAAAGGCATTTGATTCTATTAATTGGGATTTTCTGTTCCCAGTTCTAGAAGCTTTTGGAGTTCCAAAATTCGCTTTGGCTATCAATGGATATGCTTATTTGGCTACTTCTATAGTACAAAAAGGTTAGTGATTGCAATGAAAGTGTTATACACCTTTATTCAACAAAGCTGCTTCTAGAGGTAGCCAAATATTCAAATTGGTATCTGAAATTTCAGAAAGAGTAATGCGAGACTTGAACTAATAAACTGTTAATAAATTTGACACTTGGATGAATATCGTTAGTAAACCGTTACTTGAAAAAGATCAGTTTGCTTTTATACAATAGAAACGTGGCACATATAACACCACATATATATGAAATTAATTTTTGAGTCATGAAAAAATTCCACGTCAACTTATATATGGCATATTATCATTGGCCAAAAATTTTGGGCTGCAATTATATTGCCAAAGAAAAAAATTGCATTTTTTTTCCAAAAAAAAGAAAAAACTTAAAACCCATAATCAGAAACTTATATTTGCTAGTGCTTTATCATTAATATGTTCGGTTTATTTTGTATAAATAGTTTCATATTTTTCCTTTGAAGTCTTTAAGTAGTTTGATTCATATGTTAGGATCAAGGTCAGAAGCCTATTTTAGCTCATTCGGTAACATTATCCTGTATCTACGCATGGAATGTTTGTTTCCGTGTCAGTGTATAATTCTGTCGTTTATTCAAACTAAATTGCAGCAAACAATGACTACAACCATTGAGGTGCTTCTAGTTTTCCAGATGGTTGAGCACCAGGAAATTTTCTTGTTGGTCTAATTCTACCACTTTGACAATGGAGCAGAAGGAATATAAGGTGTGGCCATTAAGCGCAAACCATACTTTCTCCTAACATTTACTCCAAAGGACTCTCAAGTCTTGTGTCAAGTTGTTTTGGTCTGAGTCCATTTGGCAGTTTCCAACCGAAATGACACAATAACATGCAAGGCAAGTGGAAGTTCGATATTTGCAATACCGTTAGGCGTACGAGATGCCTGGATACACCCTCCTACCAGCTCCAAATGGAAGGAACTCAAAATTTGCCCTTTTTAAATCGATGGAAGAATTACGAAACCTTGTTGGTTCAAAGCACTCGGGATATTATTCCAGTATATATTCTGGATCCCTTCCTATTGCGCATGCATCAACGACGAGTCTAGTCTTAGTAGGTTTTTCATATCCACTTATTTGACATCTGCTTCTGTTAGGAGAAGGGAGTAGGACGATGAAACCTAAGAGTTTCTTTTGGTGGAGGCTGTAACTTGAGAACAGTGACGGACGTTAACATTTGATGTTGAGGGGCGGATTAATATTATGTTTTAATCTATTTTTTTATAAAACATATTTATTATATTTCTTTAGCAAAAAATATGCTTTATCATATTTATTAATATAAATATATATATGTATAAAAAATTAAAAAATGAGTTTATAAAATTATAAAGAAAAAATTACTATAACACACATTTAAAAATAATATATCTTTTAAATTAATAGTAGAATTACTAATTAAATAGTCTTTTAACGAAATATAAAATCTTTCTTGATTTCTTTTTAGTTTAAATCTAAAATAAAAGGTGCGCAAATCAATATTTTTATAGACATAAATCGATCATTAAAAAAATTTACAAACAAAAAAAAATAAATACAGTTTTAAAAAATGAAGATGAAAATTTTGAGATTGAAAATCAATGGTATTTTTTTTTCTAACTTTTTCAAGTGATTTGAATATGATTTTTTTTTTTTTTTAGAAAAATATTACAAGATAACATTATTGATAGTTTAAAATGTAATATATCTCATATTTAATAGAAAGATTATTTGTATGTAGTTTAAAAGAAACTATTTGTATTTTTTAAATAATTGAATTAATTATTAGAGTGGACTAAGTTATTTAGGTATGTTAAACATTTTTTTTAGTGAGTCAAATAATTTTAAAAATAAAAAATTGAGTACTTATTAAAATTTTAAAATATTAATAAATTAATATTATTTTTATTTTGAATAAACTTCTTAGAATATAAAATATGACCACAAAGATTGTCATAATTTTTTAATAGAAATTGTGACTATTCGTTAATTATAAATAGATATTTTTACATAACCAATTTCATTAATTTTGATTTATGTCTTTGAGCACTTATTAAAGTTTTAAAATATTAATAAATTAACATTATTGTTATTCTAAATAAACTTGTTTGAATATAAAAACCATAACTATACATATTGTCATAATATTTTAATAGAAAATTGGGACTATTTGTTTATTATAAATGGATTTTCTGTATAACTAATTTTATTAATTTTGATTATAGAGTTTTAAAGTCTTATTATATCTTATGCGTATAATTACCTTTAAATAATATTTTTTACGCATTAAAATCATATATTTTTTTATTATTTTTATTTTAATAATTTAAAGACAATTATTATGACTATTACATCTACTATGGACCATACTGCTATTGATTTGAAATGTTCATTTTTAGAATCAAGATGTAATCAACAACGCTGGAAGTAACCTATAACTATAATTGCTATCCAAAGCTGCTGATTGGAACCCAGAAAAGAAATTTTAATTCTTCAACAGGCAGAACAAAAGAATTTTGTTGGCTGATATTGAGTCATTGACACATATTTTCCTGTTGTATCTTAATTGACCTTCACTTCATCCTTTTGCAAAGTCACCTTAGGTCTAGAGAGTCTGTTCAAATTCAGAATTATTGGCTCTGGATGACTAGAATATAGGCAGTAGGATTTGGTGAGATTCAGATTGTCTTGCTCTTCATTTGTTTTTTATTTAAAAAAATGAACTGAAATTCCAGATTTTTGGTGATTGAGGAGCTTGGCTATAAAAATATGCCTGAAAGCGTATTTAATTTCTTTTACATTATAAGCTGCATCCAAGTACGAAAACAGCTTCTTTTACTGGACACCAAAAAAAGTCATATCAAAGTATCTTATGTTTGATCTTCAAATAATAATAATGAGTCTGTGGGAAACAGCCAAAGCAAAAAGAAGACCGCTGAGATCAAGGTGAGGAGGCAACTATTTGGTTGTTGTCTTTTGGGGGTTGAATTCTGGCCCAGAAAGGAAACCCCCAAATCCCTTTGAGTCAGAAAGGATATAATAAATTATCATCAAGATAAAGGGCTTGAAATTGACATTAGATTTACAAGGCGCTTTTCTTCTGCTCTGTGAAAAAAGGGCGTATATTAGAGAGTTTTTAATTGGGAGACTTGTTCTGTCTTGTGCTGGACTCATTTAAGCAGGCACTGTTCCCTATTCTTTCTGGGAAGAATTTGATGATTGCAATATTGCAAGGACAAACCCATGAAGTGCGCAAAAATTTCACAGTTTCACTTACTAAATGAAAAACAAAGAACAACGAACATTGGCTAATTGGTGTAGACACCGATTTTATCGGGATCTACTATTTTTATTTCAATATAATAGTAATAATTTTAATAATAATAATAATAATAATAATAATTTAAATAAAATAATTATTAATTTTATAATAAAAAATAAACAAAAAAACAAAAAAAGAGAAAAAATAGAAAGTAGAGTGACTGGAGTTACTGCCGCCCTTGACCAACCATCCTACAACCTTCTGACCAGCCGTTGACTAGCCACCTTATAGCCCTTTGACCAGCCCACTTACAACCCAGATCTTCTTTTAAACACCTTAAAAATTCCCAACTTCAAGCCCCTTTAAAAGTTTTGGGAACCCCTCATTTTCCGAAACCTCTCATTCGGATCCCTTCTCAAAAGAACCTTCGAACCCAACTTTTCAAAAACTATCAGACCAAGAAAATACCCTTCTCTAAAAACCCCAAACAGAACCCACACCAACCACAAAAAAAAACAAACAGAAAAACAAAAACAAAAAAAAGGTACAAACACAATCCTCCCCGCAAGGAGGAACCCAGTGCCAAAGCTACCTGCAAAAGCAAAAAAATTGCATCAGTCTTGCTTCAACAAAATAAAAAAAAATTGAAAATAGAAACTTTGAGCCATGATCAGCGTTTTCGACAAAAAGAAGGTCAGATCTTAGAAGAGTGCGTTTAAGAGCGCTTCTGGAAGTATTTTGGCATTTTTCGATCACCGATGACGATCGACAGCGACCGCCGATGGTGACCCAGACGACGGCTGAAGCGGTGGTTCGACGACCGGACGGTGAGAGCTCTGGAGCTCTCCCCCTCCCTTTTTTTTTTTTTTCTGAAAACAGAAACCAAATGAACAAAAAAATTTTTTTTTTGGTTATATATAAAAGACTAAGGAGCAAAACGACGTCGTTTCGATCAAGGAGGATCCGCGCGTTGACTCGGATCCAACCCGAGATCCGCGCAACTCGACTCGTGGACCCGCTCTTCAAACGGTTGCTGATCGATCCAATTGAACCGGTTTGAACCGGATCGAACCGCAGATCATTCAACCGAACCAACCCTTTTTTGGTCCATCCGAACCAATCGTTGATCGAACCGTTGATCTGTTCGGTTCAGGTAAATTTTTTTTTTAAATTTTTTAAATTTTTTTATTATTTTTGTTGTTTTGAGTTTGTTTTATTTATTCTTGCATGATAAATTTCTAAATTTATTAGAATAAATGTTTAATTATTTTAATAACAATAAAATTGAAAACAAATAATAATTAAAAATATATTTAAAATGTTCAAAAAAATATTTATTATTATTATTATTATTATTCTCTCTGCCTAGATGTTGGAGGGAATAAAAATATTTTTCTAAAAAAAATAATTTCGTCTAGATGTTGGGGAATTATTGTTAATAAATTTTTACAAAAAATATATATATAAGA